GTATATATATATATATATATATATATATATATATATATACTGTTCCACTAATTTATGTGGTGGAGCTGTTACTATTATCATGCGTTGGCTTGGAACAGAATATGTTGAGTTAAATGAGCAGAAGAATGTCAAATCTTTTGTTGATCCTAACACCGATTATTGCAGGCCCCTGCCTTGCCTCTTGGCCATATTTCCAAACCAAATCCATTGCAAATAAGATAAGAAGTAGATTTCTGGTTGCAGGCTGAAAAATTAAGGGCAACTCGGAACCTTTTACTACTTATTTTGTTGTTTTAAATTAGTTAAAGGTTCTTCATGTGGTACTCAAATTGTTGTTTCATAAGTGGCACAAGTCCTAACCTACTTTTGTTTTGTGCTAAATATCTAGGTTTCTGTGCTGCTGAAAGACAGTTATATTGATTCTTTTCCATATAGGGACAGGTCTTTTATGAAGGTACACATTGGACATCTTATTCCTTTGCACTGGAGAGTGTTTGGTTTTGCTAATATAATAAGTTCCTTTGTGGTTAATTTAAAAATATTATTTTGCATTCCATGGCTTCTAATCTATCATCATCTATCATTGATCATTTGCATTAAAATTGGTTCCTTTGCACATTTGCATGAGAGAAATTGTTTCATCTAAACCACTAGAACAAATGTAGTCAAGTTTGTCTTTAAATTTCCAACTGTTAATTTTACATGGTTGTTGTTGATATACTCAGTTTGCTTGATGTGTTTGAATCTGATCATTACGGACATGCTTAAGAATTTAGGATATAATGTATTAAGCTAGACCAAATCAATACTTTATTATGTATTTGAATCTGATCATTACGTACATGCTTAAAATTTAGGAAATAATGTATGAAGCTAGACATTTAACTCCATCATGGAGTATTGAATTGGTCATTTGCTTAAATGTGTTCCTGTTATAATTTTTGTTGGTATTTGAATCTGATCATTACGGTCATGCTTAATAATTTAGGATAAAATGTATAAAGCTAGACTCTTTAAAACTCCATCATGGTGTATTGAATTGGTCAAATTGTTTTTGATCATTGTATTTGTTTTTTTTTTTTCCTTCGACTTGTTGGATCAGCTTTTTGTGGATACCCAACTCTTCTCTGTACATACGGACTTTGTTCTCTCCTTTTACCAGAAGGATTAGAGATTTTGTTGGCTGAAGTGAAGAAGGAAATATGGCGAAAGAATTCATGTAATTTTCCCGTTTCACATATGTAATCTTGTTCCCAAGAAGGTCATTATCAAAATTTATTTATCTTGCTCTTTCTGTTGTAAAGTAACTGTTGATTTTGAGCATAAAATGCTGTTTCTATTTTTAAAAGTACTTTGCAGTATAACACTAGTTTAGTTGATCTGATTGAGATACACTCAGGAATTTTTATTAGATAGCTACATCATTCAGATTGTTGTTGCTTTAGATAGGAAGATGGATGTGTGTGGATGTAAATGTGGAAGACCTCATGATATATGATATTTGTGATATTATTTTAATCGATGAAAATCCGGTTAAGATAAAATTCTAAATTCTGAGTTATGGAGACAAATTGTAGTAATTAAAGGTTTTTTATATATATATTAAGTTCAACAAAGATTGATTATATAAAATGTAATCTGAGTGATATTAACTAACAAAAAAGATGGAAGTCATAGAGTAAAAGATGGACAAACAACAAGTGTTGTGTAAACAAAGTTCAAAGTATTTGTTTTTTCCATCTATTATTCGAGGTGAAATGAAAAATTAACGAAGATATTAGTCTTGAGAGTAAAAGATTATGTGATTGAAGGGTTAATGGTTTTATTTATGTTATCCTTGTCGTCACATCTTCTTTATACTAAAGTAGAAAATTTGAGATTATTATTGTATAGATGTTCAAAAACATGTAAAAGAATTAGCGAGAGAACAAACATGGATGTTTAAAATTTTTATTTGAGAACAATTAAGCGTAGCTTTTATAAATGATAAAATAATTAAAATGTTATTTAAGATGATATAAATAAAATAAGTCGATTAATATTAAGACTCTGTCGTAAGAAAAAGTACCATATAAATGGGTGAACTTTGTTCTTGGGGAGCACTTTTTACTTGTTGATAGAGGGAAGAACAAATAATGTTGTAGGCGATCAGTCTCCTCTCATCCAAAGCATCCGAGAGGAATTCATGCTGGAGACTCTGATCTATCATAATATATTATTATGACCTTCATCACCGGACCCAAATGGCACGCACTCTACGGAACTGCCGATGCTCTCATCTAGAGAATGAATGGTTCACTAAGTTGGCCTCTGAGTTGATTGAAGGCGGGGGGAGAATGATTGAAGGGATGATTCTATTTACCAAAGGCTGACTGACCCTTGCGATACCACTGTTAAACCATTCGATTACCTAAATAATTTATTTGAATTAACAAAGTGAGATAATATCTCATAGGCTAAAGATGATTCACAATCCCAAAGATGGTTCAGCTCCTCGATTGAGATAATGCCACATACAAGTAATTGTTATGACATGGTAGGTATCATATCTCATCTCATCTGATGCAGCCATTGATGTGACATGCTTGTGGTTGTGCGGCATGAGAACCCACAAAGATGACTGATCCTTCGAAGGAGAGGAACCAACCTTCATACGGTACAGTCAAATCGGTCTAAAAACTTTATTTTTCAACGCTAATATGGTGGAATGGGTCCGAGCATTATCTTCGACACCAATACAATCGAATCAATCTAAAACAACACTATTTTTTTTTTTACGACAAAACGATTGAATCGATCCAAAACACTATTTTCAATATGAACATGATCAAATTGATTCAAAGCGCTATCTTGGACACAAGCGTAGCTGAATCAACCCAAAACGCTATCTTCGATACTAGTGTGATCGAATGGACCCAAAGTACTATTTTTTATGTCAGCGTAACATAATCGTCTAAAACAACACAATTCTAACAATCAAGACATAGTTGAATCAAACACGAATCATTTTTTAAATTTAAACAGGATCGACGACTCAAAACAGCTGCATTGTATCTCGATCCTATTTCGCATGTTAAAGCATACTGGGGGACAAATATAATCATAGTCTCGTGACTCTTAAATTCAATGAATTAATGACCGAATGATACACGTAGCCACCCTCGATATCTAATTACATCTCTGAGTCTCATTGTTGTTTCGAGAGATTTTGTTGGATATGTTCTCGATATAATTTTTTTATAAAATTATAACTCTCAACATAAATCTCAAAAAATGATTGACGATCTAAATCATCCACCGAAAAAGACAATGACGAAATTTTCTTGGAAGAGGAGGAAGAGGTTCTATTAATTTTCCGTTGGAAACGCTAAGAAACGTACGAGGCATACATGAAATAGATGAAGGATCGATCATATGATACCCCATCACAAATAACGAACTAATTTGGTTAATTAATTCACCGATCAAAGTCGACCACAGTCATTATCGAGTAGAGGAAAAGGCTGTGGATTTAACCCGATATTTAAACTCATCCCTGCACCATAGCCACGCCAATGACTTCTCTCTCATGCCGATCATGGTGGGCTACCAACACGATCGAATCCATCTCTCTTCTATCTTATCCGGTCTTTCATCTGTCCTTCCTGTCTCTTCTCTATTTTGCCTGGGCATGACAATGACAAGAAGATAACCGAAAACCACAGCAGTAGGCAACGGGAGTGATCTTTTTAAGGCTTGTTTTCCCAAACTCCCCTTGTTCTCTCTCAGTCATCCTCGCACTGTTGCATTTGATCCTCCACGTTTCAATCTCACTACAGCCAATTTGTTTGTGAATTTTTGACGAAGCTGGTAGAGACAGCAGCTAAAGAGGGTGCAGAGGACAGCAGCTTGCTCCAGTGATAGAGACACAGAAGAGCTCTGCTCTCTGGCCACACCTGCACCTGCACCTGCAGCAGTCTTACTAGTAAGAAAGGGAAGAGACCTCTGTCCCCAGGTGCGTGCCAGCATCTCACATGCATCCTTCTGACAACATCACCATCGACAAATGGCAGTGACACACACACACACAGGTCTCTGACACCACCTGCATCCAACTTTTATGGCGCTCTGCGCCCAGATGACATGCATGGGAATGCAATGCAGCTCATGTCTCCTCCGCATGCTTTCATGCATCCGCCGTTGTAACCCCAATATGAAAGACTCGGCCTGCGGGAACCATCTCTTGAAGCTCCTGTTAGGTTTCCTGTGATCATGAGTGGCATAAGCAGTAGTTACCCCTTCACTCCATCTCAATGGCAGGAGCTGGAGCAGCAGAGACTCTTCTACAGATACATGGTCTCGGGCATCCCCAACCCTTGGGATCTCAGCCTTCGGATCAGGAGGAGCTTCTTGTTGGAACCCACCACCATGATCTCACCAACAGTAGCCTACCCTCCCCACCTTCACTGTGAGCTTCTTATGCTTCGCTTTCCTTTTTGGTTTTCAGGCTTATATTCATGTAGAAAATGGAAGGGATCTCTGTGTATCTGTGGCAGTGTGTTGGGGCAGAGTTCGACTGGGCGTTGGCAGGGAAGGAGAGGATACAGAACCAGGGAGGTGCAGAAGAACAGATGGAAAGAAGTGGAGGTGCTCTAAGGAGGCCTTCCCAGGCTCCAAGTACTGTGAGAAGCACATGCACAGAGGCAAGAACCGCTCAAGAAAGCCTGTCGAGATGTCTTTGGCCGACAACCTCTCCACCACTGCCCAGCCGCCTTCCTCCTTCTCCTCCTCCACCACCACCAAATCCTCCACCTCCAATACCCCCTGTCATCACCATCCTTATCATCTCCCTGTCCCAGCACCGGAAGTTTCCAGTTTCCTGACGTGTCCCTCTTCAAAATCTCAGCATAACACACCAACCTACAACTCAGCTGACATTGCCTACAGGTTTGCACTCGCTCCTCTCTCTCTCTTCACTCAGTATGTCTCTAACAACTGCAACAACAGGTACCAGCACGGAATGAAGAGCGTTGATGAACACTTCTCAGAAACTGCAGGAGGTGAAAGGAAGAATTCTTCGCGATTTAGGCCGCTGGGAATGAATTCTTTGGTTGGAAAAGGACATATGGCCTTCGTTCCTCAGCAAAGCACTTCCTCCCACTCCAGAATAGATCTTCCAAGGGAAGAAAAACCACAACATTGCTTCGTTTTGGGTACTGACCTCAAGCTGGAGAAACCTGCAACAGTGGAGTCCAAACAGAAGCCCCTTCTCCATTTCTTGGATGAGCGGCCTACGACGAGCAACACCTTGTGCTTGGATTCCAAGGCAGATCATTCCAAGACCCAGCTTTCCATCTCCATCCCAGTGGCCTATCATGACTTCCCGGCCTTCAAATCTGGATTCAACAGAGGTGCATGCACTTGCCACTGCTAAAACTGTTCTTCTATCCGTCGTATCATTGCTTTTTCGAGTCATTTGCCTCTCTTACCATCATCATCATCATCATCACTCTTTTTAAATTCACTGTGTTGCAGAATGGACCTGATAGCCCCTCGTCCTGCAAGTTGGGTATCTCAAGAGCTCATCAAAGCACCATGTTTCTTGTGTTCTGATCACTGTTTCGTGTTTGATCCATAAATATTAATTACTACGGCGTCTTTGGTTTGTCTACAATGTATCCTTAGAACAGCTTCTTCAACTATATGAAGAACCAAAGAGGCAGCCGACTGAGAACGCTATAGAACTTCATCTGTCACTTTCAAGCTTTGCATAAACTGTGATCACTATGAACTCCGGTTGGAACTAATTCGCAGGTACTCATTTTGGAGTCAATAAACCCTGCTGTCCATCCATATTTCTGAATAGGCTACCAACATGAAGCCAAATCTATTTTGCTGGAGAAAGAAGCCAAATCTGTGAGTTGCTTATGGGTCAAAATGAAGTCAGCATACATCTAACAAAAAATAGACAAAGATAAACTATGATTACTGCACTATTATATAGTACATTCGACAAATATTCCAATCCAAATGAAGTTATTTGAATAAGGCATAACATGCTAGTAAAAATCACTAAAGAGCATAATCCACAGGATCATGTAGAATTTGCACAATTTATTTTTTTTCCACAAGCAGCTTTACAAGTAATTCTTGGTGAGCAAGATCTATTACACCATGCCAAGACTAAGCACTTAGGCTGATAAAATACACAACAGTCAGTAATAAATGGAAAAGTAGAAGATGACTGGTGTGCTGATGTGACATGCAAAAGTTCATTGTATATGGTGTTGTCTTGCTCAATATGGCATCCAGAGTGGAATATTTTTGAGAACTTTATACTGGACAACTACCATAAAAGTTACAACACTACAGATGTTTCTGGTTTCAGCATTTAAATTCTAGACGGTGTAGACTGACTGATCCCAGCTTCGACACCAGTGTCTAGACCTTTATGTACTAGACCTATAGCAGCTGCAATCACTTGACAGTATTTGTTAGTCATTCATAGCAGAATATTTGTAATTACATAACAATATTTGTTACCCATGTTTTAGACTAATTGTTACTATTACCAAGTAATAACACAGTGATATTGCTATTTCGAGGTAACAACAGATACAAAGATTGTTAAACCATGTGATTCCACAATCTTAATATGACAGATCAATCCTGTGGTCTAAATGCTAGTAAATCATAAAAGATACAAAGAATCAATGAATCATAATGAAACAAAATCTTAAAAATTAACATTGATCACCATAACATATAATTTTGGCCAATGTAAGTCTGGAGAAGGGCATATTCATAGTCTTTCTTTCATATCCAACAATTGCTTTGTCTTGTAACCAAAAGCTTAAAAGGAAAATGAGATCTAAAGCCTCAAAGAATCCCTTCTCCCACTCCTTTCATCCCAGATATTGAATTGGCAGACCTGAGTAGGTATTAACTTAAGCATCTATTCATACATATCTAAAGCTGTCAATGATCACTGTTGGTTTGTAAGTAGTTTTCATAATATATGTTATTATTTTCTTGGGTTTAAGCTCAGTTGTGCAAATGATCCTACATATTACTTCTGTAGTTCCACCTCAAATAAATAAAGACAAGCTGGAACTGATCAAAACAGAGAGTACCAGGGGAAAATGTAACCCAGAGATGGATACACCTAATGTTCTTCACTAGCAGCTAAAACTGCACCCAGTGGCCACTCAGCAACATTTGGATGCTTCCAATGTCCAGCTCAGGCTTGGTCCCTTTTACCATTACAGCGGTCCCAACAAGAACACAGATTTGTAAAGACTGCTGCTATAGCTCTGACATGATTCTTACTGCACTTGGACTGCAATTTGGACCACAGTTCATATGCGTGTCCAGATTACTGGTGGCAGATCCAAGCCATTGGAACCCTTCATGGAGATGTGTATCTGTGTGACTCACCGCATATGAACTTGGTTGGTCAATTTCCTTATCATCACTGCAAATTCAAGCTAATGGAGTAAAGCAATAGTATCTCCAACAGTTAGCTCCATGACATCTTAAACCACACCTAATGGCTTAAAATGCATCTTATACACAATAATTAGCAATAAGACAGTAAAGCAAAAAAGATGGAACAAATGAAAAGATCTAAACAATCATGAATCTCGACCAACAAAGACCCTTTTCTGCCAAGTGAATCATAAACACAGATCTTCATTACCGCACTGTATTGAGCATGGTTCACCAAAATTGCTTAGTGGCATCCAGCACTCAGCTTCTAAACAGACTTCTTGAAGTGCCCTTTTAATTTTTATTTATCATTCTCTTTAACTCAAAGGATAATCTCTATATTCAGTCTACCTTAAGCATGTAAAATTAGGAAACCTTTAGAAGTTGCCATATCTATAGTGATATCATGACACTTTAGTCACTTCAAAAGACCAAGAAATCCCCATGGAGACACCCTTCTATTTGCTGAACCAAGTGCTCAAATATTTGTTGTCCGACATCATGCTCCAAGAAGCACAGTACTTAGTTGCCTTAAGAAGTATTTATTCCAAATGTAATCATGTTATAAAGCACTAACCATCTTGATATCAACTGTCAATTCATACAAAAATGTTTTGAAGACTCTTGATACTTTTGCAGCTACGAAAGTTTTAACAGGAAAGACATACAGGGAAAGAGAGTGATGCTGCATTGATGGAGCACATTTTACATATGTCCATATGAGTACAGTGTAAACAAATATGCTAGAGGTGACAGATATAAAATTATCCGGATCAGATCTGGCTGTTCTAAAGGTACAAATTAAAAGATAGCAACAGCTCTAGCGGATAAAAACAAAATCACTACCAAGAGAGGTAAACCAGCAGCTTTGCTATTACAGCAAAGGAAGAAGAAAATAAAAGAGAGAGAGAGACAGAAGCAGCAGGAAAACAAAGATTAGAAACACAATAATTTTGAAAGATAACATATATCTTATTTCGAAGTCATACCTAACAAATAGAACCTTGTACCAACTTCCAAATCACACTAGAATTCAAACTTCTAAACAAGCAAAATATCAATTCGTCATGTAGCTTCCTATCACTACTAGCCAACTTCATTTTCAAATTAAAATTCTGACAAATGCCTTATTGTTCAACAGACAATCATAACTGAAAAATATAACTGCCCTGACTTTTTCATAGGATGGAGCCTAAACTGAGTTTGAACTAACAGGAAAATGACTTGCCAATGAAGGCTCTTACTGGACCCAACATATCACAAAATTTGTACTCAAAAGTCAAAACATTACTTATTTGACCTTCCAAAGGAATTACCAAAAATAAAACAGAAAATCATGCGATGCACTGTTGGAAAAACTAAAAGTAATAAAAGCATTAAACTAATTATAAAAATACTGTTCTTAAAAGCCAAGAATCAGGATCCTCATCTTCAACCTGGAGCCCTCTGCAAGTGCAAATTTATGTTTATCCTCAGGCTTCACCTCTGAGTCACAAAATTTAAAACAGAACAAAAATATAGATCATGAAGGAAAGTTGGAAGTTGCTGATTTTTGATATTTCAAACCAGCTGTGTTCTTATATCAAGTATATAGCACCCAAAGCTTCTTGTAATAGCTTTCCATAGCACCACCTAATAACAGATGAAAAAGAATTTCTCTGCAGAGGACAAGTCAAAGGGAACATCTAGAATGGGATGGGCTAAGTATCAAAACATACTATGCACGCTTCAGATCAAGGAAAGGAATAAAATCAGAACAATTAATCAATTTATGCCTCTGAAAAATAATCACCAGCCTTGTCCCCAATTCAAACAATTAGCAAAGGAGTATGACTCAAGGTTTGTAATTTCGTATCGACCAACGTATCGAGCTTTGCTCGGTACGGTATGGTACGAGCATACGGAGTGGTATGCTAGGGTGTACTGCTACACACACACACACATATAATATAATAAATATAAAACACACACACACACATATATATATATATAATATAATAAATATAAAAAAAGGAGGCGTATGTTGCCTTAACGACATCGCCTCCTTTTCTTCTCCTCATCATGTCAGACGAGGAGAAGAACACGGTCTTCTCCTTATTTGCGGTGTTCGGCGAAGACGCGTCGAAGGCCGCAGACATCTTCGACGAAGACACAAACACACACACACACATAATATAATAAATATAAAACACACACACACACATATATATAATATAATAAATATAGAAAAAAGGAGGCGTACGTTGCCTCAACGACATCGCCTCCTTTTCTTCTCCTCATCGTGTCAGACGAGGAGAAGAGTGCGGTCTTCTCCTCATTTGCAGCGTTCGGCGAAGACGTCGAAGGCCGCAGACATCTTCGGCCTTCGGCAAAGAAGAAGCCGAGCAGTCGCCTCTCCGTTACCTCCTGGATCGGGATCGTCAAGGGAGGGCGGCGTTGGATCGGAAAGCATCGAGGTTCTCCCGATTCTCCCTCTTCTCCCTTAACGCTTTTTCTTCTCTCGTCGCAGCCAGGTTGATACCGCCCAGTACGGGCGGTATCATTCGAAGGTATGACTACAAAAGTACACTTTTGAACTAGTCTGGCCATGATATCATAGTCACCTTTGGTGAGAGATGCTATGATTTTGATCTATAAGTATAATCTTAATGCAATCTCAAATGGACTGACCTCTAGACATATCAATATATCTAATGTTACCAGGATTGCCCAAGGCACAATGATCAAAATAAGACTTATTGATCCAGATATCATATTAAAATCAATATCTAAAAGGATCTCTGGATTTTTTACAAATCAAATAAATCAAACCATGTATCAGCTTTTTTTATCTTATTGACCATACAATCCAAGAGGTTTACTTAAGTGAGGCACGTACAACTATAAACCGACCTTTAGTTTGTCACGTGTTAAAAAAAGAAACGTCCTCTACAATCATAAAATTCAACTTAAAAGGAACCCACTGAAAAACAAATTGCTAGGCATCCCTTCTTTTTCACTTTTCAATTGAAAAACTCATTTATATACCATAACATCAACTTTAATCCTTCACTTTCCACTCCCAAAGCTTCCTCTAAGATAAAAAGTAGGGTTTGGACATCCTAAGAGGACACCAAAGAGAATTTTTTCTGAATCGATTACCCAAAGAGCTTCAGCAATAAGAGAGGTGGACACATGCATTGTTAAAAGCATCAAAGGAGAGGTTTAGAATCTTCGAAAATAATGTTAGAATCATTACAATTTCTTGTGTCAATGCCATTCCTCAATCCTTAGATATGAGATATATAGACAATATAGGCACAAAACAATTTTGTAAAGGCTGAGAATAACTGGCTACAAATATTTTTGTTAGACAACTTGTACATAAATCATCTCAACTAGTCTCATGATGCAAGTTTGAAGTTTTAGTAGGCATTTGGGAAATATTCAAGACATTTGAAGCTCCAAGATTCCTAACCAACCTGAGTTCAAAAATGTTAAGCCTAGGGATTAATTATCTCAGCAATCATCATTATTGGAAATTTTCTTAGCAACATTAGCTTACAAGAAAGCTTTGAAGAGACACTGGATTATCACATGGTACTTCAGTTTATGGGTAAGGCTTACAACCTACAAAAATTCCAAATAGGGATTCTTGAGGAATTTGTACAAGCATATTATTTAATTTTTCAAAAGCTATCTGATATTCCATTCCGGTACCTGGTCGAGTGAAATTTTTTTTTTCAAGGGTCTTGATGCAGTCAAAGTAATGTTCCACCCTAAAAATCCACATGGTATAAGATGTTGCCACTTGGTAATACTTCTTGAATAAAGTTAAAGGCATGTGCTTACCTCCTCTTCAAGAAAATTTCCCTGCTTTACAGTTGTTTAAGAATCCCCTTTCATGAGTTTCAGATAAGTTAAGACTAATTCAAAATAGAAAAATTGAGCCGGATAAGTCTTATCACAATTTTAATTAAGTTTATCCAATTAACTTGTCAAATGTTGACAAAACTTGATCAAATTCTATACAAACTACAGTAAGCATTCACAAAGATAACAACCTGCAATTGGTGCATATTGGCTGCTGATCCTTGGTCACAAGTCCATCGAAGCCCCAATTTTTGCCTTGAGTCGCCCAGCAATTATATTCGACTGCCCAGAACCTATGCTTGGTCAGCCTCGTCAACCCCTTTCCCTTTCCCGGAAAGGCGGTTCTTCTTCCTTGCATGTTGGAGTCAAAGGCCCTGTTTGCTTGCTGGACATTTGCATAATAATAGACTTTTAAGTAGCCATTCATAGACAAACATCACTACCGGCGAGTGATTTTTGTGCCCTATAAATGCAGGTCTGGACAAGCTGCTGTTTTACATTACATTTAAATTCTGTGAATCATTTCATATTAAATACTAAGTTCACCAAGAAATTGCAAATTATATCTGTACGTAAGTCTTCTTAGCAGTAGAGTCTCATATTTTATATAGGACACCAAGTCTGATAAGAATTTCACATTTAATGTTAAGTTCACCTAGTATATCTGTATATTATCATGTAATGGCTATTAACAGTATCACAATATTGATAATATTGGATCTCAATCTTATATTCTTGCAGTGTTTGCAAGACTATGATCAGAATAACTATCACAATGAATGTCAAATAAATAAACTTCAAACTCACAACTCTTATACAACTACTGGAATGGTAAAAGAAAGTGCTGAACTGAAACACGAAAAAAGAATGAAAAATAATTCTACTCCAATTAATACAAGAGACCGAGTTTATAAAAAGACAGGAATAATTACCACAATATGCGGATTAATGGAATTAGAAGAAGATGTTATCAACAAAGGGAAGAAAGAAAGAAACTTCACACGCTGGTTTTTGTACAGCCAACATTACAGGGGAAAAAATAACTATAGCAACAAAAAGCAGGGAAATCGTAAATCGAATTTACCCTATTTGTACAGGATGAGGTTTGATCGGATCCATCCACGGATCATGGAATGCTCAGTCATCTTCGAGTAAGCAACATCCGCATTCTGCCTTGTACCCACTTAACAATCCAGATTTCGTCCATTGCACATTAAACGGGAAAAGCTTCGATTTAACCTTTTTCATTTGGGGAGCGAAAGGATCATCATTTTGAAGAGGTAGGCGAATCAAGGAGGAGGGTTGGAGGAAGAGACCGCCGTTCCTCGATCATCGCGCTCCACTTTCTTCAACTGCCATCTTTTGAGAACGAGGACACCCCCCAGCGCCACCTGCAAACCGGCGGCGACGCCAGCAAACGCCAGCCCAATCTTTTCCCCATAATTAAGCTTCGGCTTCCCAGTGCTCGCCGGCACCGGGTTTCTGCCTTGGTGGTGTCCGTGCTTCATCAGATCAGGCGGCGCGCGCAGGGAGGGAATCCCCGGGGGCCGGCGCGGCACGCCGTCGAGGTCCCGGTCCAACTGCTTAGGCAGCGTACGGTGCGAGGCAGGAGCCGGCGACGGAGAGGGGGACGGAGAAGTGAAGGACACGGCCACGGAGGCGACTTGGGAGAGGAGGAGGAACGCAAGGAGCAGGGCCATGGCCAGAGATCGAAGCTCCATAGGAAGTTTCCGGCCAGCGTCAAGATTTGTGGTCATCGGTGGCGGTCGCCGCCGGTCAAAGGTGAATAGTAGCTCCCCGATCTGTCTCTCTGTGTCACTCACATGAAGAGGGATGGGAGCAATCGGAGAGACTAAAGAGAATCAGAGATGTGACTGGGAAGTATTGTTAGATTCCGTGGCTAAGTATATTATATATAGAATTAAATTTTAATTATGGTTATCATTTAATATATTTTTTTAATTATGATATAAAAAAATTAATAAATAATTTTGATAGGAGAAACTTTTTTAATTAATTATTTTATACCTTTTTGCATTGGTATATCAATAAATAAAAATATAATATAATATAATACGTGATGTGATGTGATATTATTGAGAGATTACATATATTTTTTTATCTCTTCACGATGTTATTAAAAAATTATAATTATTAAAAAAATAAAAAGAAGAAAAAAAGATTTTGATTTTCCTAATAGATTGATATCGTTATGATTTTCAAATTGGATGATGGTGCGATCAGATAAATATTTTTTCAATATCATCAAAAAGGTACTTTGATACATTGTTATTTGATTTTAACTTTTAACATTAAGGTTTTGTGTATAATAGGAGCATAATTATAATTTTTATGCTTACATGGAGTTATATTTTAAATTAAATATCTTAGATTTATTTATTAGCATAATTCACTTGCGAAAAAATGTTATTCAATTTTGATTTATAATACTTAAACGATCTATCTATATTATCAATCTACTTTTTTATCTAGTCCATTTTATCACCTGCTTGCAAACAATGCGAGACGATGCAAGATTTCTCGTGTTTGATTGTAGTTTGCTGTCGATAATAGTATTGTCTATGATGATTGTTAGTCCAATCGTGAGCAACAACTACGTATAGGTGCTATTGTATAGGGTGAAAGCATGGTAAGGTGTAACAATCGACAACGATTGCATGCATGGTTGCTTATGTGCAATAGCTTTGTAGTAGTCAGCCTACCTTGGTCAAAGGCAGTTGCAATAGTGATGCTACTTGAAATGACCACAACGCCGCCTTTGACTAGCAACTATAGTAATGCCTATATGATAGTGTTTGTTGGATGCCAAAGGCCACGGTTCCTAACGGTTGCTTAGTAGACAAGAACAGTCGTGATCAAGTGGACGTGTGGGCATAATTGTATAGTGGGATGATCATCGGCGACCCTTAATCGACACCGCATGGTTGCGGAGGCATTCCGCCCATGAGAAACTCGTGTGTGGTGAGAATAGTCGCACATGAGTATGGCGACATGGCACGACATGACAACTGATGAGGACACCGATTAATTACGTAAGAAGGCGACGATTGTATTATTGAATCCTGGATTTTGATGATGAAATCAATTGATGTGTTTGTCATATAATGTGTGTTTGAGTAACACATGACTAGCTTCGATCAGAAAAGGCAAATCGATTAAAGCAGGAGGAATCAAACATTGGGTCGGAGCAAACATGTCAGAAGATTGGATGTCGGACCGGAGGATCGGTCGACGTGTCAGTAGAAGGCTTCGGTCCCTAAATTCAAGTATCGTGCCAAGAAGTTTGGACATTACACCAAGGAGATCAGATGTTGCGAGAAGACAACATGCTAATTGGGTAATACACCGAATAAGAGGACGATGCACCGAAGGATCGGACGAAACGCCGGAAGAACCAATTGCAGTCATATGTGCCCTGCAAGCCAATCACGTGAGTGATATCACGTGTGACTTGACATGCAGTCTTTTTGCTTATTATATTTTGGCATTTATCACTTTATATTGCTTGCTGCATATATATATATATATATATATATATATATATATATATATATATATATATATATATATATATATATATATATATATATATATATATATATATATATATATATATATATAT